AAAAAAAAAAAAAAAAAAAAAAAAAAAAAAAAGGGGAGTTTAATTTCTTTCTTATTTGTATCTTTTCTTCCACACAGGTAGTTTGGGACTTCAAACCATAGACTGTGTCATCAGCTAACTTTCATCTCATTAAGCAGGTTCTCAAAGGATTGCTTTGTTCTGCAGAACACATCCCATTTTCCACCTTCATTAGCAAACTGTTAAATATTCTACTTTGTCACAAGACTGGAATGCATAAACAGTTGCTTCTTTCTTTCTTCCTGACTGTCTCTTCCAAATATGTTCTGGTAATCCTCAAGGAAAAGATGGATTTCATTCATTTGTTACTGATGATTGGCAGAGATTTACAATAAGGAAAAGAGAAAACAAATTATTTTAAAGCAAGAGCTTGTATGTGTGTGTAAATATTGCATTTAGAAGGGGGGGAAAGCAAGCCACAGTGACAGTTCACCATGACTTTAGTAGTGTTCGAGGTCTGCAAGAGTTTCTCTGAATCATCATGAAGAAAGTTCCTCTTTTTCCTGTGGGATGTTCAACATACTCTCTTGCACTGTGACACTTTCCCCTGCAGTACAAAACATCTCCTGACAAGTTTCAGTTCTGCAGGTAAACAGGAGTTTTGCCAGACTTATTTTACATATGAAATGAGGCAATGAATTAAAAGCCCGGACATCCTCCATTTTTAAATTAAGGGAAGCACCTCCATTTATTTTAATGGAATATAGATCAGGCTTCTTTTTTTTTAAACGAAAAGAGTTTTCCCCTCACTGAAAGTCAAAATTACCGTATCGAGTGTGATTAATGCCAAAGTCTGTGTCTGCTGGAAGGGATTCAATGTCTGACAAAGCATAGTACTTGATGGAAGGGTAGCTCTTTGCTGGTGGGTCTGGGTGGATGATGTGTTCCAGTTTCCAGGTGGGACCCACTATTAACTCTTGGTCTGGTGGCACTGGGAAAAGGGCAGCATTTAAAGGATGCAATATTAAATAAAAAACGGTAGAGTATAATAAAATAATAAGAAAAATATCTTGTTTGCATTGTTCAGTAGCCTTCCAAATTTTGTGGCCACAGAGACAGCTTAAAGGATCTGTAAAATAAAGACAATGCTTATGCCTTTTGAGTACTTTTAATACTTTTTTAATACCCTAAGTTTCTCATAGCCATATGTCCTTTGGATGCACATCACTGACATTGCACATCCAACTGCACATTGCCCTGCATTTGCAATTATTGCCCAATACCCTCCATAGGTGAAATTCCTGGCACTTAAAACTGACAGAAACAAGGCTTGATGCTTATCTGTCTCTTCTTGCTTAACCAGAAGGTTTCTGAAACTTCTCCTGGACATCTGATAAACAGAGGTGGTTTCTGCACTTGCTACCCAAGCAGCTTGTGTGTCTGTGAGCAGCCTGACTGGACAAAGGGGTGCTGGACATTATTACTCCATTGCAGGGCTGGAAGGCATAACTATGGGTCCCAAGAACAAACACAGATAACCACAGAAAATTAGGAGAATGAGCTGTGTGAAGTATAATAAATGTTTCCATTTATTCCTTTATTTAGCAAGCTCTTGGGAAATTCTTTTTGATTGCTTGAGGCTGCCACTTGATTCGAGAAAGTCCTCTGAGCCTTTTACTATCAGGTTCATTTTAAAAAGGATTTTACTTCAACAGTACTCCAAACGCTTTATTATCCATTTTTATTAAGCATTACAATGAGAAGGTAGAGATGATTACACCTCTCCCATGCACTGCAGATTGGCTTGGCCTCGTGCATTTTAATGGGCTCATTGTGCCGACCTTGCGTGGTGGCACCAGCTCCACCAGCACGGGGAGCAGGCCCTGCAACTTTTCCTTCTATTTGCAGATTGATCTGCTTTGTAACTGAAAGCTGGGATCATGCTTGTTGTGAAAAGGGGACACCACTCAGGAGATGGGTATGTTACTACAAGCCAAATATGTTAAGTGTCAGACTACTATCCTTACAGCAGGGGATTTTAAATATTTCTGCCTGAAAGTTAAAAAACCAGCACGGCTGACTCTCCACTGATATTCATAGCACCTGTGACCCTCCAGATAAAACATGCTTTTACTGCAAGGAGAACCATCCCACAGTCCCATTATTCCATCAATTCCAAAGCAATAAAAGCAAAAAACCAAAACAACCATCAGTGAAAGTGATTAATACTTGGAATAACTTTTTCAAGAGTCAGTTTTGACAAATTTTATCTTCAAATCATGTCTCTTTTTTGCTCCCCATTGATGATCTGCAAATCTTCAAATCAAGAGATTTGGGGATTGCCTAGCTGCAGCCCAGGCATATTCAATGGGAAGTGGTCCTTCTCAGGATGCAGAGAAATGGATGTCAGGTCTGTCTGCAATGGCCTTATGTGTGTGTAGCTGCACTGCAGCTTGTAACGCAGCTCAGAGAAGGGGAGATTTAGTAAAAATTGTGAATAGGAAAATGTCCTCTGTGAGTGCAGAAAGAATGCACACAAGTAGGACACAGGCTGCACTGATTGTTATGAGAGCAGTGTGCCAAACTTTCTTCATCTCCTTTTTTATTAAGAAATAAAAATGCTGCTTTCATTACTACAAGATTGTAATTTCCCAAAGCAACCACAAGAGGGTGTTTTCTTTTGGTTCTGTATTTTCTGTAGCTGCTAATACAATTCCTTTTTCTCAGGTAAACCCTCATATATTCTTTGTAATGTTAGAAAAATATTTTCTACAAGCCTTTCGATCAGAATCAAGTGAATGAGGTAATATCTCGTTACCATATTTCTCATTGTTCTTTGGTGCATTGTTGGATCCAATTTTTGTAGCAAATCAATCAAGTTCACCATATTTAGGCTCCATTTACATGCATTCTCTGAGACATTTCCTCTCAAAGGACTTAAAGGCAAAACTCTTTTGGAAGTCTGAGGTAGATACACAGCTTTCAGACCAGAATTCTTTTTCATTAGTATCTTAATAGTTTATAGATGTGGCATACCTGATAGGCCTTCATGTTAAACTTGTGCCTTTGTATCCAACAGAGGGTATTTTCTTCCCCTCTGTCCTTTGCCTTAGCTCATACCACTCTCTTGACCTGCTGAATGAAGTCAGTGTTTCAGTGCCATATACTCAGACCAGTATTTATCATCTCCAATTTGGTATCCCCTCTTTCCATACAATATGACTGCTCCCATTTGACCATGACATCTCATTTAATTTTGTATATTCAATTTATCAAATGCCATTTTATTTTAATCACATTTTGTGCTCCAGTCTAATACATTCTGAGTTTATCTGTTGTTCAAAAACTAATTTTGAATATATTTTGTTTCAAAACATTGTGTGCTATACGTCTTGCGTAGAGTACTTTCATAATTCTTCAGAAAATTCAATATAAAGCAATGTGTTTTAAAAGCCAGTCTCTTACATTCTCTTCAGCTGTTTCTCAGTGGAGATGCCGATTGAAATTGAATATGCAATACGAGCTAAAAGGCAAAACAAACATCTCATATTCTAGCTGTAGATATTTTCCTATTGTGTTTAGTAAGGAACAGAGGAGGAGAGTACAATCCAGTGTGTTTGACTGTGTTGGGGGGGAACATAATGAGACCTGGTGACCAGTAGCAGGGGAATATCTACTGCTCTTGTTGGCTTTTGTTCACACCATTGTGGTCAGAGTCTTCTGACCTGTGAGCAGTATAGGAAAAAAACCCCAAAATTTTCTGGTCCAATCTGAAGTTTGCTGACAGCACCTCAACACATAAGTTAAATTATTATTATTATTTCTTCTGCTATGTGAGCTGGGGTTCAACTTTGGCTAATCTGGAGTAATTTTGGTCTTTCCTTTCACAGAAAACCGTAATAGGAGTTGCTCAGACACCTGGAGCCATCACCTGAAGTCATTCAGCACTCCCTCTGCTCTGCCACACACCCCTGAGGCCAGTCCCTGCTGCCACGCTTTGGAAAGCACTCAACAGCTTACACTTATTCAAGTAAGTCTAGCACTGGAGAGCTCCAAATATGTTTAACTTGCAATGTATACTAAAGTGCTTTTCCTAGAAACTTTGGACATCTGTTATTCTTGGTGGAAAGACCTAGGTTAGGATATTGCTGAACAGAATTAATTTTTGTTCCAAAGTTTGGTTTATAGGGAAAATATGTACCAAAGGTAAATTTCCATAATATTTTTGGGCAAAAAGAGCTGGAACAAAAATTTTATTAAATGATGGTGAAATTTCACCTGAGACAATGAAGAAGCAGAACTGAGAAGAGGAAAATTGGAGCTAAACAAATATGATCTATCAAAAGCATGGAATAATCTGTCAGGAAAACATTAGTCCTGGTACATCCATTATGGAAATGAAATTTGACAAATAATCATTAGAACCACACTGTGTAGATCAATCTTTCTCTGGCCTTGTGGGATGTGGTAAACCTCAGACCACGGGTAAATTCTGTTTCCAATTCTCTTTTATTGCCTGCCTGAGTTTCTAACTTAACATGATGGATGTTGGGAGAGATGAATACTTTTGCTGTTTGGTATTTCTTTCAGACTCTGTCATTAGATGAACACTTCATATTGAGGTGAGAAGCAGTAATATTATTTTACATTGACATGATACTTTCTAAACTGAGGAATGTTTCAAGCTTTGAATAGCCGTGCAGCACAATCCCATCTCAACAAGCCTTGAACACTGATGTGGGAAGCCATATACAAAAGTTTTCCTCTAATATTCTGCACAGCAATAGGAGATAAAAGTTTGCTGCAGCCTGTGACAAAAGGACAGTTCAAAGCTATTGCGGTGGTCTTGTGGCCAGGTACAATCCCCACAAAGTTTAAAAGGACACTTATGTATGAATGTCTTCAGTTTTTAAGATAGACACATTACTGTGTTACGTGCTGATCCATTTCTCCATTCTGCATCTCACTTCTCTACTTTGTCATCTCATTATGATTTAGTTGGGGTTGTTGTTTTTTTTAACTTGATATTGAAAGATATATGATGATAAAAACCTTGCAGGAAGGTCATATCTTGTCTCTACACTATTAGTCTTGTTAAAGACTAAGGGGTAGGAAAGCATCTGGATGAAAGAAGGCCTTTCCCACAGAGCTTAAAAATAATTATGATAAACACCATATTGGATTTTGTAAATACTTTTTCACACAGAAACATTTACTAAGGGTAAGACTTCCATGAAAGGGCCCCATTAGGACCTTACTCAGCTGTGGAGCAGGGTGAGTAGTCAAGAAGGAGGAAAGGAGGAGTCTGAAAAGCCAAAGGATCTCCACAGTATTTCAGTATCGCCAAGATCAGGCAGGATAGATGCCCCCTCTAGTGGATTTTACTTTAGAAGAGAGGAAATCTGTCTTCTAAAGGCATGGTGCAGGGAATGCTTCGTGCATTATGAAAGGAAAAAAGCATCTGAGAGAAAGAAGTAGTTTTTGGGCATACATGAGAAATACAGGAAGGGAAAATATGTTGAGTGAATGAAAAAATAAACCTCCAAGCTCCCAAACTCTGCCTCTTCTGTAACTTGGCTGTTGTCCTGAAACATTTAGCAACACATGGATGAAATAAATGGGAAACACCTGGGAAATATTTGGTCTGCTGCAAGGTTAGAGAGATTTCCAGAAGGCCTGAATGTAACTTCTTTGTTGTGCTGTTGAGGGAGATGTTAGTAAGTCACCTTTCCAGCAGTTTCCCCTCCTCTCAGGCTGAAAGTGTGACTGTGTTAAGTAGCCTAATTCTGCCTCTGTACAAATCCCATATTAGCCAGGTTCTCTCTGGGTAATCTTACAGTCAAAGGAAAGGATGGGGGACAGGAACCATCCTGCATCTCTTTCCTCTCATGTTTGCCGAAGTGCTGGAGAATACGGCAACATTGGCACACATAGGCAGAGGCTAAGCTGGGCACTGGACAGGTGCCATGGAGACCTAACAGTTTTCTCCTAGCAGTAAAATCATAAACTTTTCCCAGAGCTGTCCCAAAAGATGAAAAAGCAGCAGTCAGCAGGCAAGAATAAAATTCTTTGGTTTTTAACTCATTCCCAAGTACTTGCCTTATCCTCAAGCTTCATCCTTGTCAGTCTCCATTAGTCTGCTCTCTCAGTCTTTGGGTTCACCTTGAGTCTCCAAAGGACCTCACCTTTCCTTCCCCAGCTGTTTCTGACTTTCAGTCCAGTCATTTTAACTATCACAGATCTGCTGTCTGACCAGTTCCTCCTTCCAGCAGCACAGTATCCTGATGCCTTTATCCACCTTTAACATCCTCTTTCCTACTCCTAAGTTTCTTAACCAAAATCCAGTTATCAGTTTGTCTCTTCTTTTTATTCTATCCCACTTCTTCCTCCCTTTCCCGGTGCCTGGGCAATCTCCACTTAAGTCTCTCCAACACCACAAAACCAGAACCAGTTTTCTTACCTTACACCACTTCTCCTACAGATATTGATATTGATAAGCTCTCTCTTGCATACACCCCATTTATACAAAATGTCTGAAGAGTTTAGAAACCAGCTCTAGATTGCATCAGCTGGGTAGATACATACTGCAGGCTTTGAAAAATGCAGAGTATGGCCAAATGAGAGTTGATACTAGCAGTACAAAGTGAAGCACTTATCTGAACAAGGCACACCTACTTCAAACCACAAGTTGAGAGAAATTCAAAGTCAAGCTCATCTGACATATTTCTGTTGATTTCAGGTGAAATGACAGGCAGAAGCTTCCTTTAAAATTTCAGCTCCAGTAGTTGAAGGGTTGAAAAACTCTATGCACTAAAAAACGTAGCAAAGAAGTGATGTGAAGAGTTGCAGACCTTGAAGTAACATCCCTGAAGAGGAGCTGCTGTTCCAGGCTGCTTGATCTCATAGGACAGGAAATATGAACACCTCTCTTGATATGTGGAAGTTTTCACACTAAGTCATGCAATGTCACAGAAAGCATCATGCAAGTCACTTCCATTCCAACCAGTCTGGTAAATCTGTTTAATATGCTTATTTCCTAAAATCCAGGCATTGAGACTGTCGGGCCACATGCTAGTTGATAGAATTCTGGTTTTTACTATGTTTTTTTTTAAAAAAGTAGAAAATATTAGATGGTAAATAGAACTTTTTAACACATGAGGAAGGTCACCTCTTCATAATCTGAAAATGTTTATTGATTTGTTGGTTTACTGATATTGCATGTTGGCAAATACATTTTGTTTTGTACTATGTTTTTCTGATATTTTTGCTGTATTTAACCTGTCACACATACACATTACTTGAAAACATCAAATGCAATTTCAGTTTGAATGTAATTTTGATTGACTACAGGTAATCAATCATTTCTGGATTGGTAAGTTTTATTTAGGAATAAGTTTATCACTCTAAGGCAGGTGTAAATGTTGAGAAGAAGGAGGTAAAGAGTGAGTCTGAAAACTGGACTGATTTAAAGGCCAGCATTTCCTATCCTCCCATCCCTCAGTGAGGGTAGGCAGGAAACAGGGCAAGGTGTCAGCATATTGCCTATGGATGCAGCTGGAGAGGGCAGTGGTAGAGCCCTTTTGGCACCAAACATCTTTTCAAAGTTCTCTTTGCAGCCACTTTGGCTCAGTAAAAGCCCCATCTTCTGGCTCCAGATCAGGGATTTTATCTGATTTATCTTCTTCTCTGCTTCCCCAGTCGCATGTGAACTTGCCAGCTCCAAGCAGCTACCCTAATCAGAAACCATTTTCTGTGGGTATTAAACCAAAACTTACATTCTAAGATTATTACATCTGTTTTTGAAAACTGTAGACCAGATCTTTCAGCCATCTGTTAACCTTCCAAACTATGAGCTAAATTAAAGCATTTATTTGACTTTGAAGGACTCCACAATAATCACCCACTGTGAAGGCTGAGCACTGCTGGCCCCTGAGTTCTTTGTCTCCCTGTGCAGAGGATGGGAAGGACTGGGAACCTAAGACTGGTGCTCTCTGGAGCTGCCAGGCAGGAAGGGTCTGTAAGGTATTGTCCAGAAATGCCACGGACAGCAGATCTGCAGTGATTATCTTAATGACAGTCTCTATTATCCAATTATCCTTCAGCTCAAAGGGGAATTAATTCCTCAAATTTTTAAGGTTTCTCTCACAGGCAGAACAAAACATGAATTATATCTGTCTGGACTTCCACACAATGAGTTGCATTGCTCCAGACTCATGACTCATTAGGCTGCCAATTAGACAAAAATATTTTTTATGTGGTTACTCTAATCCTCCTTGGACAATCCCATCAGAAGCCACTGGATAACTCCTAAATAGCCATGAGTCCCAAAGGGTAAATCCGAGACAGACATCCCCAATGAGACCATCCCCCCTCAGTGGGCTCTAACAAGACTAAAGCCCTGCTGTTCCCAGCCTGGCTGCGCTCACAGGCTCGTGGTTCTGTTATCACTCCTCTCCTGACTGCCTCAATAAGTGCCCTGCTAACCTGGATCATCCTTTGGCCTTTTTGTCAACCTGATGCTTAATGCAGGGCCCATAAGGCAGATCTGAGTGAATCCAGCCCTTTGTAACTCTTTTCCAGATGAAGTCTGTGTTGTCTTTCCACATCAGCCAGGAGAAGGTATTTCAACTGGTATTCTGCATCCTCTACTGCACTTCAGAAAACTGACTGCCAGGTAATGGGGAGGAGAGCTAGAAAATGGAGATGTGTGGGTTTTGTTCATGGAATTAAGCTTCTGCAGAAGGATTAGAGTGAGTGTTTTTTAAGGAAAAGAAAATAAACTGTCCCTAGAGCTCACCTCACACAGAACTGCTTTTCTAAAGCTGACTTTGCCCTCTCCTGAGGGATGCTGTTTTCACACTAGGTAGCAAGTCGTGCTTTTCCTTGATGTGCATTGCTAGCAATGGCTTCCAGACACACTTTCTGAGGCATGGTTTTCATGGTTGTAGTAGTCCAGTTATTCAGTGGATTCTCTTTAGATCCTCCAGAGAGCAGGCATCTGCTGCATGCTAAAAGCAGTGTACAGATATTGGGAATGAACGGAAAACAAGAAGTCCCAGAAAAGACACTCAAAAAGAAATCTGTCACAGACTCGTGGGTATGGTTGTCACTGTGTCTTACCATCTCTAGGTGGCAGATATTTCCTCCCCAGGCAATGAAAGGCCCAGAAACAGAAGTGGTCATACTGCTGATGCTCTTCTGCATGTAGCTGTAGATACCATTTACAGTTTTTGTCTCAAATGAATCTGCAGTGGCAAGAAAAAAGCTCAGAAGCTGGTAGACAAAGCCTGTAAACAACTTGTCTAATAAATCACAGCTGAAATGCTGCTCTCCAGAGGTGCAGCTATGGTCCCAATAAATGATCTTGTCTCATACAATCCTTTGAAGGAATCTTTTTTTTCCAGAATTTTTTCTCGCTAGAAACTCAGTTTGGAGTTAAGGGAATGTTTCCTCAATTTTCCACAAATGATCAGGGAATCTTTGCTGTCTTTCACCAGTACTGTGTAAGTAGTTTTATCCTTATTTGTTCCCTACTGGTCTCTATTGCATAAGGGAAGTAGAGAAGTGCACCAGTTTCTCTGGAATTCTTGAAATACTTCCCAAAATTCCATGAAAACAACAGAACGGGAATGTTATTCTATTATTGTTCCGTATATCAAAACATCACACAGTTTATCAATGCATATATATATATGTGAAATATATAAGAAAGGACCTTTGACTTTCCTCTCTAAAATCTATTATTTTTATTTTCCTTATTTAATGGTAATGAATTTCTATTCAAGCCAGCTGTAGTTGGAAGCTTAGAAAATTCAGGATCTAGTTACATTTGGCAAACAAAATATGTGGGGAAGAAAAAACTAAAAATACCACCTCCTCAAAAAAAACCCTAATGACTTAAAGCTAAGGATGTTTTATAAATTGTCTTGCCTTTTTTTTTTTTTTTTCCCTCAGAAAATATTCTGTAAATACAAAACTGAACTGATGCCTTCTGATGCCTTTCTAGTTATCTGCCCAGCCATGGAGTTATTCTACTATTGTCTGCTCAGCTGAAAATATTCTCTGCAGCTGCTTCTTTGTGCTTTGTTGGATGTACTAAGTCTAAGGAAGAACCGCAGTGCCCAGTATGAGTGGGGATGTATACTCTATATATTCTTCACTCTGTGAAGAAACAACACTCCTTTGAGGGATTTTGTGGGATTTTCTGTTGTTAATAATGTGTCTTTTACACTCCCAACCACAGTATGCTCTCAGGAATGCTTGTTAGGACTCAGCTTTCATTAATTGATGAAACCTGGGCAGTTACCTCTCTTTGAGCTTATCAGAAACACTGCTCCCAGAACTTCTGTAGCCTAATGAGCTTCTATTCTAATAAGTAGAGTTGAGATTTTATTTTTCTGTCTGAACAACAGGTTGAGTAAGATAACTTTGTTATTGAGCTTTTTGAGGTAAATCCCAGTAATTACTGATTCAGATTGTGGCCAGAATGGAAATTTACTGAGGACTGAAGCCCAGAATCTTGAGAACCTACAAAGAGTGGTGCTGAGGCCCCTTAACCTGAACCACTGTGAGCACCATACTCTGAGTTGACTCCTCCCAAAGCTCACCACATCTCCAGTTTGCTGTATGCAGACAACTGCTGCTGAAAGCTGGTAATGAAGCCTGAGCCCAAGTCCCCACTCCCTGAGGATCAACTCTGCCCATCAAGAAGATGCAAAGGCTTCCAACATGAGAATTTCACTGAAATCAAGGGGAATTCTTCATAACTATACCTTTGCACATGCTTCATTATATCTGTGTGTGTGCACATTAAGAATGCTGCATTTTTATATTCATTAATAAATTTATAATTAAATATTAAAAATTGTGTTAAACCTATGGTTAATTAGATTTATGGTTAAATTACTATTAGACTTATACAAAATTCTATTAAATAATTTTGTGAGTGTTAGATTAGTCAATTGATTAAGTGCTGCTGTTACGGTGTGGATTGGATATTGTTATGATTTAGTGTTGCTGAATCCTTTAGACCTACACTGCTGATCCAGTCTGAGACTAAGCTTGGCAGGAGATCTGTTCTAAACCTTGTGACTCAATGGAACGGCCTCCCTTACTCTTTTCTTTCCTTATCCTTTTTGTGCCTGGTCTCCACATAAACCATTATAGCCTGCTTTTAATCTGGTTTATCTTTGTGTGCTTTATCTACACAGTAAACTATAGAGTGAACCTTACCATTGAACTTCCTCAAATTTGTATTAAACCTGCTTTTGCTGATACCTCATCAGTGAATTTTTTAAAGTGACCTAAACCACTCATTCACAGCATCTCACCCCCAGACTCTCATGTCCCCATAAGGATAAATGAGAGCTCTGTAGAGGCTTGGAGACATGGACATGTATAAATGTACCCAGGGATTTATAAATAGCTTCTCCTGGCTGGTCTGTAAGCATTGCCCTGTATGAAGCCATCCCTGACTTGCAAAGTCTTTTTTCAATGAGAAAAACCCAAAGTCTTCCCTTAGATCTCAGTCTTATTTTCATAATAAATTCTTGAACTGGGATAATCAATGTCCAAAGGAGTTCTCAAGACAACAAATTTTCTTCAAAGATGTTTTGCAAAAGAGGGGAGCATGTGTTGTGCTTCTCCTCTTTCCTAAACGTGGCACACAGTCACCTCTCAGGGACACTCCAGCTCTTTGAGCTTGTGTGAAGGAGAACTGAAGCTGTCTTTTGCTTCAAATCTGCATGGAAATAGCTCAGCTCTGTGGCCTCCTTAGTCATCAGTCTAGTCCACATAAATTTTATGTATGTCCTATTTATATGATCTGGTTTTCATTTGTGTACTTCATCTTTTCAAACTTTGCATACCACACCATACACATCAATGTAATGCTGGCTTTCAGATAGGTTATAATGTGTAATTTTCAGCCCAAGGGAGATTTCATAAGTGGAAAACGCAGTCTATGTTAACTGCTGCAGCATATTTTGTCTTCTCTATTTCTCTGCAGTTCTGAGCAGTCTCCACATCAGGAGAGGTGGAAGCAGAGCTGTGCCTGTCCCCTGAGAAGCATTAAGTCAGCACCCCTGGACAAATAACTAAAGTTTCTTGATGGGACAGAAGAACTAATTTAGAAAATTTATTCCATTTTGGACCTTGGAGAGGACTTGCAGACAAGGTCTGACAGGACACCAAAAATGGTATGTATGATTTTTCAAAGGCAGCAGCAACTTGAGTGTATGGACTGTATTTGTGTCAGGCCTTATAAGCTCTGTCCAAGAAGATGACAACACCTTCAGTCCTGAGCTCTTATCTGAACGCCAGCTCTAACATTATCTGAAACGTTTTTTAGGTTTATTTTGGTTTCAAAACTGATTGTGTTTTCACACAAGTAGCAGCTCCTGGTGTACTCATGTTATGTGACAGTTTTTCAGCTTTCTTTTCCCTGGTAAAAAATAAGTCTTAGCCTTTCAAGGTAACAGATGCAAGTTTAAAACTAATGTAGCCAGAAGATGAATAAAATGTTCAATTATTTATATACTCTTGGTCTTATCAAACTGGAAGATTACATAAATGAGTTTTAGTTTATCCCCAGCATTTTTATTCAGTCTCTGAACATTTTTGTTCCATCCTCTTTATGCTGAACCGATGAATGCTGTATCAAAAATTGCATCAGTTTTGGAAATAATTTTATGGGTTTGTTTCATTCTTGCACAGGGTCCATTCCATGGTTTTATAAAAATGCTGGCTTTGAAACAGTAAGGGGAAATATTTAATTACTTTTAAATACTTTGTTACTTTTCTGGGAAGAGCTTTCTTTAACCTCCAGAGGGGAGTGTTTTGAGAAATGAGAAACTTGCAGGGCTATTTAACATAGTAAAGTTTTCTTATCACTTCCAATCATGCAGGCAGAAGAGGGATTTCTGTTGTCAACATTATTCCTTTGGAGGAAAAAAGGGCACACAGAAAATTAAGAGTAAACATACAGATTCTCCGTACTGTAGATAAAAATGAACTCGTCAATCCATTCATCAAAGAGCTCTGAATGTAATTTCCTTCACGTTTGAAGGAAATCAGCCTTGCTCCCTAGCAATTACCCTGCAAGTGACACAGTGACATTTTTCTTCTAGCAATTACAATCCTCCATTACTGTGTAATGCATATAGTGTGGGGCTAGATTTGCATATCATCAAACATTCCAACAGGCAGTGTCATTTGCCATGCTGTCACAGTTGCCTGTGTTCTGAGGCATTCAGATGCTATCTTTTCTTTTGAGGTCCTAATCATGGACTAAATAATAAACATCTCATGGTTATTGTCTAAGAGTTCCAAGACAATCATAAATAAATGCATCTTCTGGACTAAACATCAGGTCTTACACATTTTGTGATGTAGAAAAAGAAAGCCATAGCAGACATTCCTGGGGTCTGCAGTGCAAGATTTAAAAACCAAGCTTAAGCTTAAAAACAACAGTTGAAATATTTTCCACATCAATTTCTTACTCTTATATCAAGTACTGAAGTTTTAAGAAGTACTGTAAACATTTAAAAACTAGAATTCTGCTTTCAAGTGAAATTACAGCTAAAACTTTCGTGAGCTTTAATGACAGTTCCACTGCAACAGTAGCTGCTCACAGTTTGGTAT